CCCAATTATTCAAATTTCTGGTCTAGCATCACATATTTTGATTTATACATGTGTACCTTAGAAATTTATTAGTACCGTCAACCCAGATGCCATTAGACATCAATATATAATATAAAGAAAAATGAAAATTTTTTCAAAGTAGTGATTGTTGATGCCCTGAAACTTAGTAAGTAAATTAAATGCTAGCTATACACAGATATTAGTATAAATTCAATTAAAAGAAATCACCTGTAAAAACAGATGCTAACAAATATAAGAGTGTATAGTGGTGTGTAGGCGACTTTCAATCCAAAGTTAAGATCACTGATCCAGCAGTGATGGTGCATGCCTCTAATGCCAGAGGCAGAAGCAGGCGGTTCTCTGATTTTGATGCAAGCTTAGTCCACAGAGTGAGTTCCAGGACAGCCAAGGCTACATAGAGAAATCCTGTCTTGAAAAACAAAAGAAAACTAAATTAAAAATAATTACTGTATCAGTCAACATAAAACTCAGTATGCTTCACAATAGACATATTGTTTCCCTCAACATCTCCTTCATATCTTTGATGTTTTATAGTGTCAAAGCACATGGCAGGTACCGGGTAAATATGTGTTGATCAACTTTAACAGGCAGACTTGAGGGGAACCAGCATGGCAGTCTTAGCTGAAGTGTTATCCTTGATGATTAAGGAGGAATGAGAATCATCTCTTCTTCCTGGCTCTCCAAGGAGCTCCAGGCTGAGAAAAGGTGCAGTACTGCTCTAACCCCACGTTTTCAGTTGATTAGGAACGATGCAATAATCATGGTGATGGATGGGAATGACTGCAGTAATTGTGGGTAGGCCTAACTTTTTACCTGAGACTGGGCAAGGATCTGGACAGAAAGAAGGAATGTGGAGGGTCTAGATCACCTGACTTAGAATGGAGTCAATTTTGCCGTAGGTTTCCTCTGGCCTTGTGCCCTCAGTAACTCAGAAAGGTTACAGCCCCTTCCCCCTCCCAGGAGAAGGGTAGTCCTGGAGTCTTCATGAAGGTTAAGGACATCTGTTAAAGTTCAGGCTCAATTTAGTAAGCATTCGTCTGTAAACAACCAACCTTCTAGAGCTTCTTCACAGCAGGGTGTTTGCTATATCTCTGATGGGGAGTAGTTGTTTTCAGAGTTCTGTTGCACGGGAGAGCCACACAGCATTCGAGTTTAACTTAGTAACCCTGGCCTGAAACGTGTAGAGATGTGGATTAACATCACAGCACTGTGCTTCCTGTGTCTTCTCACTGGCTGCTGAGCATCCTTTCTTCAGCATGGAAACAGACTAAAATGTACACTGTGATAGCATTAGAAAGGTGAAAAGAGTAGGGTCCCATCAAGTCAGCAGTATAAGCGCCATGAGGCTCACCTACAGACTTGCAAGGGCGTAACCGTCCTAACCATCTGAATGAGAAGGTATGTTTGTTGGTCGCTGTCTTCTATGCGTGTTTTCAGCTCTAAGGGAATGGGTTCCTTTATGAGATGTCTCAGATTCCCAAGGTTCTCCTTCGAGAATTGTGCCAGTAAATCTTTAGTGTCCTGCTTCAAAAATGATGGACTGCATTTGAATTATCATCTTTCCTCCCTGTATTACTTGCTCTTCTGCATATCCCACTGGTGAAATGCATCTGGAGCCTGTCCTCTTCCTCAGTTAGCCAAGCCACTTATGTTTGTTGAAGTAGCCTAATGAACAATCTTTACAGTGTCTTGTTCAGTCCTGCTTCCTTAACACCTTTTGTTAATGAATGCCTGGTCTGTTCTTCTGGTTGGATTTGTTTTAATATGACTTCTATTGGTCTCATGTCAAATCTCAGATACTTTAAAGCTAACCTTACCACTGTGAAATGGCATTTGTCTCTCCAACTCTGTATGGGAGCCTCTTCTCCTGACTCTGTCCTATCTGGCACATGGGATGGTGACAATCATTACCTGGAATTCATTGGAGGAATCAAGTCTTTGGAGTCAAGAGGAATGAAGCTAATTTTTTCCACGTTAATATTGAGGGTTATTATTCCTTTCTTATCTAAAGTCTTATCCTTCAGAAAACTGAGTTAAAAATATGTACTTATTTGGTGTCTTTGAAGGTGAAATTAACTAGTATATATGTACTAGATGAATATAGCCAATAACTACCTCCCATTTTGTTTTCTTCTGTCTTTTCATCCTTTTTTCCTTCTAAAGCTCTTCTGAGGGATAGTTTCTGTCCTAGAGGGTGAAGGCAGAACTCTCAAAGAAATTATAATCCAGCATTAGAAGCAGGCACAAATCAGCAAGTTTAACCTTCAGAGGCCATAAAAGAGGGGTCAGTGATGAGCAGAGGACAGTTTCCCACCTTCAGTAGCTGATTCCCTTTCCACAGATGAAGAATGGAATGCATCTGTGCAGGATTTACTGCTGTTCTAATAACACTTTGATTATTCACTCATTAGAGACAAGGATTGCATAAGAGACTGTTCATATCTCAGTCCAAGGAAATGTCCCCTGAATATGAATAAATCCATGTGTGCCTTCTATTTGTCACAATTACTGTATTCCTGAGTGTCCTGGTCACTAGGCAAGCATTACTGTGCTCCACGGGTCAAAAAATGTGCCTCTGCATGCCACTGAAGTCATCTTATCTACCAGGGGAATCTTGTAATCTTGGGATATGAAATGGAAAACCATATAGAGATGTGGCTATCAAACCACCTTGTAAATACCTTTGTCTTCTGGGTCTTCAGAGAAAGAATTAAGAGAAAACGAGTAATGTCTGATATCCCTTTACATGATAAAGGAGCCTCTACAATGAAAACATTAGCTTCCTTCAACATGGGCATCGCAAAGAGAGCTGAAAAATGTATCTTCCATGCAAAGCTAATCTGAAAATTTGAGAAGAATATGTTTCCTTTCTTGCTTTTCAGTAATAAAGTTTATTTCCAGGATCAGCTAGAGAATCGTTTCCCCTCTTTAATTTTATCACAGTTTGGTTAAAGTGGGTGGTAACAGTTAAGATGTATCCAGAGTAGAAGTCATAGGCCATTGAGAAGTCACTGTGGTTGAAATGTAGATTCACCTCCAAATCCAAAGCTGAAGCAAGCCTGGCCTTCCGGCTTCTTACTTCCTTTGACCTGCATTTCCTGCACACTCGAGCTCCCTCCTAGCTAAGGGGCACCTGTGCCTCCTTTCCCCAGGCATCACGCAGAGGATGATGTAACCCACAGATGTGATTAGTGTCCTCATTTCCCTGAGAGGGGAAGTTCTCTCAGGGCTTTGAAGGAAAGATCTGCCTCTTGTGGAAAGATTGTTATGATTATATGTGATTAATAGCATACTTCACGGGAGAGATTGCAGGGTGAAAGAAAGCAAGCTTGACTCACTCAGGAAAGCCAGGCCGGGCTGGAAGTGGGGCTGCTAAATTGTAATGATTTCCCCCAAACACTTTCACACAAGGCACAGTGCACCCTTGGCTCTGATGGCGGCATCATGGTGAGGGAGGTGGAGCAAGAATTATCAACCCAAATTGTAGGTGGCAAGTGCATCCTCAGAACAAGGTGCTCTGCCCACAGTCCTACATTTATGTGTGGCATACATCCTCAAAATTGCCTTTCTCACTTTGAATGCATCTCTTTAATAGAAAATGCTGCTATTTTCTCAGCTAAGCAGAGCAACAGTTTACCTAATCCACGAGGATAGATTGCTCAGCTTTTACAAGACAACAATCAAACAATCTAAATTCAGCTATAAGTTTTCCTTCATAGATTTGCCTTCATCCAAATCAGTTTGTTCACAAAATTAACTTAGATGCAAATTACACACTTATGAGAAAAAGAATAAGCCAGTGATGGTGTGTTAGTATTCGGTATTTGCTGGATTCGGCTCTATGTTGAGCAGCGTAGTCACCTGCACACTCCTTTGTGCATGGAGAACACCACAAATCCACCGGTTCATATTTATGTAGAGAAACAGATCATAACTTTGGTTGTCTAAGTTATGTATTCAAGTTATGTAAGAGGAATACTAAGAAGGGAGACTTCTCCATCACACGGACTATGTTTAAAACATTCATTTAAAATTTAATGCAGTTTTTGTTAATCAGTGAGTTCAAAGTACAAGCTTGTCATAACCAGGGACACCAATGGCAGAGAGGTCCTTTAGGAACATGAGTTATTTCCCAGGAAATTAAAACTGCCATGAGTTGTGTATCTGCAGTGCACCAAACATACAACAGTGACACAGATGGCATGAGTTGTGCATCACACACATGAAAAGTAAAAGATCCAACTATTGGGTTTTCAGAAATGTGTTGAGAATGGGGTTTTGGGGGAAGGAGGTTTATCTGCAATGACGATGGATTTTAGTTGACATCAATGAAAACATTGCAGAAGTAGATGTTGGTGACATAAGGATGAGAGTCCATGCTAGGCGGCGGTGGCACATGTCTTTAATCCCAGCAGTTGGGAGACAGAGGTGGACAGATCTCTGAGATAGAGCCTGGTCTATGGAGAGAGTTCCAGGCTAGCCAGGTCTAGAGAGAGAAACTCTGCTCTCTCAAAAAACACGGGGGGGGGGGAAGAAGGAAGGAAATAAGGAAAAAGGGAAAAGAGTGCTTGCAGTGATGCATACCTATGTACACAAGTTTTCCTGTTATATGAATGTTGGCGTAAGAACAGACAATTTCTGATGTGATAGGCTTTCTCTAAAATATTGTATCTTTGCTTTTTTATTGTGAAGAAAAAGAAGACATATATCTAGCAAAATGTCAAAATTTATACTCAATTTTTAGTTAATTTTATATAGCACTTTATTGTTTCAAATGTATTATATTAACTAAAGAATTAACAAAATTTAACCTTGACTTTATCAGGAGGAAATTGAATTTTCTGAAATCTGACCCAAGTAGTGAAACTATTGTAGCTTCTCAATACTCTGATGACTGACTGTACCTCCGGCTGCTTCTCTAAGTGGTTAATGTGACCATCTAGTAGTAAAGTCTGTAGTGACCCCAATGCTATCTTCAGGATAGGGTGTGGGCCAACGTGGGGAAGAGCCTGAACTGCATTATCGCTACTGTCGACAAACTGATTGAGAGTGACAGTCACCACAAAGAAGCTGGCGGAGGCGGCACCAGCAAAGATGGAGACACGGAACCTTCCCTGGAGGAGTCCATCACACCTCACCCAAAGGGTAAGAAGTCGCTTTTCAACAATCATTGTGAGAGTTAAGACAATGAGAAAACCATGGTAAAATGATATAGAGAGGAGCTGATTGTGCCTTTGATGAAAGAGTTGTTGACAGGACTTTACGGTGACATTACAGTGTGCTGGCGTGGATGATGGGATTCTGTTTGTCGCAGTGGTTGTGATTTCAGGACATCTTATCATGTTCATTTTTTTTCTTTTATATAAAGCCTTTCTATAAAGCATCCTTTCGAGCAGTGGTTCTTAACCTGTGGGGCATGACCCCCAAAACATCACCAGAAAACGAAGATAAATATATTAGGATTCATAACAGTAACAAAATTACAGTTATGAAGCAGCAACAAAAATGATTATGTGGCTGGAGGTCACCACATTCTGAAGAGATGTATTACAGGGTCACAGCATTAGGAAGGCTGAGAACCACTGCTTTAGAGTGTGATACAGTCTCACCACCTACTTTTACAAGCTCCCAAAATTATAATTTTTAAACTCTTAGGTACTTCAGAACTTGTTATCTCTCACCATTCCTGAACAGAATGCAGCATGATACAGAACTTTTACATTATTCTGAGGACATTTTGTTGGTTATTCTAATGTAAGAAAGTTCGATTCTGAGCATTATGATGGTATCATGTCTGAGTGCTAAATTTTCATGCAGAGACATATATGTATACACACATACTCAAGTAACTGTATACGTGTATGAATAGAGGATTATATCAACAGAATCTAAGAGGAAAGAACAAAAATTGACAGCTAAATCGATAGTGGATGGTGGGTAGATAAATCATGGATGACAGGTAACGGCATCAAGTGTACGCATACTGGCCAGCAAGTATGATGAACATTTTAACAATACTTATGTCCTTATTAATAGTTCTGTTATTTTGGTTGTTAATCTATTAAGGATAACAAGAACCAAACAATATCATATGTATTTAAGTATATCAGTAATTCTATCCTAATTGACCTAGCATTTTGCTGGGTATCTTGTGTTTAGAGGGCAATCTCTAACATTGATTTTTAAAATTTATTCTTTATTGTTTTTACGAAAAGAAGTCATAACAAATTATGGATGAACTTTTATAAAATTAGTGTTTTTCCCAATTCGTTCTCTTGATGTTCTGTTGCTCACATTTATCATGCAAATATCAGTGATTATATACATATGTAAAAATATGAGTTATAGACACACACATATATATGTTGATATATATAAAGAATATGTATATAAACAACAATTAATATGAAGAGAGGCTATCAACTTGAAATAGAGCACAGAGTGGCATGTGGGATGCTTTGGAAAGAAGAAAATGGAGTAGATAATGATATTATTATATTATAATATCAAAAATAGTAGAAATAATTATAAAATTCCATGTTTCCTCACATGGTTAATGATTGACTCCTTCCTAAATTCTATTTGGAAATAATAAAATTCTAGAGTTCTCTTATGAAGATGGCCCGCCTTCCTCTTTAGCGTGCCCACCAAAGTGAAAGCAATGTTCTTTATAGTCATACCTGGTTTGTATCTCTGGGTGTAGAAGTTTTCTTACCTAATAATGCTATGCTAATTTTTAAAATAATGAAGCTATTAAGTCTCAAATTTCATATGGATCAAAGTGGAGATGTGCCATAATAATGGGTTAAAATAGTACTGTTGGACTTCCTTCAGCTGGACCTGCACTGGCTAGCAAACATGAGTCAGAGTCAGTTGTGGCCTAAAAAGCAGAATTGGCTAGTAGAACCCAACAATCATGGAGACAGAATGAATCAGGTTGTTCCTTGAGAGATTTTCAGTGCATATGAATTAGAGCACAAATAAGGAATACTGATTTCTACATTTTCAAATCCCTCAAACTAACCAGCATTGAAAATAAGGTTCTGAAATATTAGAAATGACACAACTTTTTCACATTTTGTATCTAACCAGGGCAATGTTCCTGGATTAAAATTACACATTTCAAAAGTGAAAAGGGGTTGGAGCGATGGCTCAGTGGTTAAGAGCATTGGCTACTCTTCCAGAGGACCTGGCTTCAATTCTCAGCCACCACATGTCAGTTCTCAAACATAATTTCATTTCCAGGGTAGCAACCCACTTTCTGCCTCCAACAGCACCATGCATGTAATCATACATGAAGGTAAAACACCTATACATATAAGACCAAAAATAAAAATTTTTAAATTACATTAGACTACCAATCTGATCCCCTTCATGGGTGGTTGTAGTCAAGCTATGGTGTGGTGTGTACTAGCCAATTTTTATACTTTTCTTACTTTGACTCTATTTTATAGATATTTATTTAATCTTATTTTGTGTTACAAATTCCATAGATATTATGATTTAAAGTATAATGTAAAGTTATTTAATATAGAATATGATGTCAATAATTTTAAAGTTCAATATTTTTTAACATTTTACACTCTGGTCAGCAACATACAGGGAGTATGTTTTAAGTAAGCCATTGATATGAAAAATGATGTAATTTTCTTAAATATGAATATTAAAAGTAATTCTGTGTTTAAGAACACTTAAATTTCTGGTGATTTTGTTTAGTAGAATGACATTAATTAGTTAACTCAGTTGATTAATTAAGAATACCTTTACCTTTTACCAATTTATCACCTTCATCATTGATAGAGGCAAACAGCTCTTTCAGTTTCTATACTGACTTTTGTCACACAAATCAATATGCTTCAAAAACACATAATGTTTTTGAACTGATACAAAACAATCAAGTAAAGTTATATATTGGGTCCCAGATATTGTACAAATTATTATTGATAACGATATTTGAGACATGTGCTCGCATTCCCTAACTTGTAGACATGTAGGAATCATATGAACAAAGGCAATACAGAGTTTGTTTAAAAGCAGGGATTTCAAGTGCTTTTTAATTTTATTTCAACTGGATAAAACCATTCTTACGTTTGCAAGCAGATGCACTCAAAAATATACTTCAAATAAGCTGGGATACACATCATAAATAAAATGTATGCTTTTATGGCTTACATATCAGTATTCTCCCATAAATGTTTTGTGGAAATGAGATTTTAATGATTGTAAACTAATTTAGCAAAATGGAAACTGCTTTTTTAGATATTCATTTATTATACTAATGCTATAATTAACACACGAGTCTTTGAATATTTAATTTGTCAACTCCATGTATATTCTCATTTAAGTTAGACTTCTAGTTTTATAATACTTCTCTTTCTCCCAGGCATTACTTCTCCAACTAATCATTTTTTGTCACCCTGGACTCATACATGCTTCTTTACTGCTATATTATTATCTAAAATCATTACCATTTATTTATTTATTTATTCGTTCATTTATTTATTTATTTGGTTTTTACGAGACAGGGTTTCTCTGTATTGTTTTGGAGGCTGCCGGTCCAGCCTGGCCTCAAACTCACAGAGATCCACCTGCCTCTGCCTCCCAAGTGCTGGGATTAAAGGCGTGTGCCACCACCGCCCGACTTAAAATCATTACCATTTATTTTGGGTTCAAATCATTGTATATTCAGCAACTGAAAGTGTTTTTAGCCCCTTGTCACAGTCCTAGACTCAGTCTCCAAGGAATCTTTAATTGGATAACAGCTCTTAGATCCAATAGTGGGTTGACAGAAACATTTTCCAGTAACACTAGATCCTGAATCTACTGTGTTTATGTATGTGCTCTCGAGAGCATACCTTGGCCTTTCTGATTACATGCTATATTTGTTTTCAAAATATTATACTTTGCCTACATGGGAAGTTTAACAGTGTGAAAATGCATTAATCTATACTATCTTCATAATACATTCTTAATAATAAAATAATTTTGTTCAGTATTCTTACATTTATCCACATCTACTAACCATAGAAGTAAACCGATGTTTCCATTTCTTAAAATGAACCAAGTGACTGCTGTCATTTAATATTTATTGTATATCTGACATGACAAATACTGTCTGGCAGTTTTACAAAATCTATTAGTGATTCTTGAAACAATATTTTATATTTATTTATATATTTCTGTTGTTTGGAGATGTACCATAGCATGCCATGAAGTTCAGAAGATAACCTATAGAGTGTTGGCTCTCTCCATTCACTAAACGGATACTGGGCTCAAACTCAGGTCATCAGGCTTGGTAGCTTGGGATTTTGCTCTCTGAGCCACCTTAGTAACCTTGTTAGTGATTCATCATGCTCAGTTGCTTCTGCTTGTTTCTTTATAAATTAAATTCTCAAAACATTTTTAAACTATCATGGGATTTCATTTTGTAACATGTCTTTATTGGTCTTCTTATCATGCTGTGTTTTTAAATTCCACCGTGTAAATCAAACTCCCACTGGATTCCATTATATTGTCCCCCTTCATTTTTTTTTTTTATTCTATCCTTAATTTGTGTGTTTTGTTGCTGTGGATGTGTTGCCAGTACATTCGCACTTCTCCTATGATCCTCCTCAATCTGGTTGCATTATTTTCTCTGAGTTGGTGTTTTTTTAACAGTGTATTAGCATTTTAATGCTATTTTGCATTTCCACTTTGGGAGTTTTGTGCCTGGTTGTTTGCTTCAGAATGGGGCCTTAAGGTAGATTTTTGATTGCTTTATAGATTTCTTTCATCATGAATATAAACAATACTAAAAGAAGTAAAACTTTCTCTAACGTTTAGATTTAAATAATGAAATGGATTTTTCCAAATGTCTGTATTTATATGTGGGATGTGTATGTGTTTTTGTGTGTATACATGTGCATATATGCAGTATATATGTAGTATGTATGTATGTGTATGTACGTTTGTATTTATATACTGAGTATATGTATTGTGCATGTAAACGTGTGTTATGTATATGTGTGTATACATTTGTATGTGTATGTATATCTATGTGTGTATGTCTAATGCACACAGATTGCCCCTTTATTTTCAGTACACGTAAACACAATTATGGACATCTACTCCCTGCGAAGAACCACATACTTCAATTTCATAATAAA